GAAACAAATTTATAAAGCAAATATTTATATTTATCTATGTTTCTATCCAACAGTACACTAACCTTGATATCATTAGATATGTCGTCAGTTTTATAGAAACCAACCCAAACTGCGTTGTTGGTAAAATGGCTGCCATTTTTAGGGACTGGTAAAGACTGAAAAACATTGAAACATTGAAGTTAGGTTAAAAAAACTTATCTGGGAAATGAAGTTGTAAAAGAACAGGAATTCAATTCTTTTGTTTAAGTCCCCTTTTAAAAGGTAGCAGTGGCTTCACATTGAAGAAAATGCCGAGTATACAAACACATGCGTTCACATATATAGACAATTATACACAGGTAACTAACATTGCTTGTTAATCAGTCGTCTCCCTTGCATGCAAAGGCATGACAACAATTCAAAATCACAGGTGAAATTGTAAAAAAGACTAGACATTTGTTACGCGTCCGTTACTATAATCACCTTATAGGCCACTTTGCAGTCGAGCAACTTAAATCGTACGTGTAAACATCCCTGAGATTGTTGTGGCAATTGCAAATCCCCATTAAGTTGCAGCTAAAAGTTCATGTTCGAAACTCAGGCGATGTCCGAGTTGCAAAAATTGCATGTGTAACTGACGGGCCTTATAAATCCCTTTCCAGGTACCCTTTCTTACCTTATCAGTGCAATTGTGCTGGAAAAGGTCTGCCTGGACGAATCTTAACTGGTAAAACATCTTACTGACGACTACCAACGAACTCCATATTAGAAAACAATATGACAGGGCTCGCTGTAACATGTGAGACGGCATAGATATGCCAAGTAGGATGATGATGACTGCATTCACAGCACACACCTGGGACGATACAAAATTACTTCAAAAACTTAACATTCTCATGCGCTGATTGGCTTGTTTGAGTGTGTCAATATGACGATATTCACACTGTGCTGACATCACCATCATTATCATCATTACCATCAAGCTTTGCTTCCAAACTTATTACATCTCAAACTCAACAGCTGGCTATTTACACTGTACAACACCACCACCTGATTTGCTCAAATTTGAAAGAAAAGAATATTTTACAACACTTGTGTGAATTGCCGTGTGCTGATTGGCTTATTAGAGTGTGTCAATAACTAAGAGGAGAGCACACTGTGCTGATATCATGCCGTTTCGCGCGTGATTTCAGTTGAAAGAAAAGAATGATTTTTGCTAATTTTTAGGCTGAAAATGTGGTTAAAAAAACAAATTTGTCAATAGTCTTCTTCACGGTTACCTACGCCATCTTGAAAGGTAGCCCTGCCTTTACATCGAGGCGAGACAAACGTTGAGCGTGCAATGATAGAAACCTTTTTTCACACCTATAGACAATTATTCACAAGTATCTATCATTGCACGCTCAACGGTCGTCTCGCTTTGATGTAAAGGCACGGCTACCTTTCAAGATGGCGCAGGGAACCGTGAAGGAGACTATTTGCGCTTGTGGTTTCACTTGAGTTTTGAGCATTCTATGAGGTGAGGAGTGTGACATAAGAGGATGAACTCAAAACAGTACTCAATTTGTTAATTTTCTTACAATGAGTCATCATCACCAAACGACTATATATAACTCATTATAATTATCAAAATCATCATTATCATTATCATCATCTTGATCACCATCAACACCATCATCATCATCATCATCATCATCATCAAGCTTTGCTTCCTACCTTATTAACAACCACGCAGATCAGTATAAAATTAACAAGCTTTGAAATATGAAGCTCTGCCAGTCTCCATAGCAACACTGTGACGTCATTGTAAAACTCCACCATTTTGATGAGACAAGAAACTAAGGGTGATTTTTGATGACCTGGCGAGACAGGATGCCGCTGACCATCAGTGACGTCATGCTCGCCGCTATCTCTTCTTGTGATCCTCCGAGTTGGTTGGTTTGATGCATCTTCATGCTCTTCTGGTATCTGCTCAACTGTTTCTCCAATACTGTAAATGTAAAATGATGGTATGAGATTTTGCTGTCAATTCTCGTCTTTTGGAGACAAATTGAGGACAGTCCATTGAACAAGCAGTTAACCTCTGGTATCTGGATTGTGGGTTGGTATTGGTTTCACACTTTGCATTGCGTATGTCGATCATAGCCATGAATGGACGATGAAAGAAATGAAGCTGGATAACAATGATGATTGAGAAAGCTGTTGGAGTCAGTAGCTCCATGAGAAGACTTGTTTTGGTGTGCTGCCGAAGACCAAGATTGTATAACCTGAAAATAGTAGCGGCACAAGAACAATATTGGTTTTTACTTGTGTGAATACGCTCTACAGTACATGCAGTAGGAATCATTTTATCCGGCACACCTCAAAAAGATGCCCAGAAATGGAAACAGCAGGTAGATTATGGTAAAATGACAAAGTTTTAAGTCCAAACTGTAAATACTTCAAGAATGGCAGCAATTGTAAATCTTGTTTTTTCTCAAGAACTGTATACGTCATGTATTGAGAAATAAGTTCAATTTCTGTGTACATTTCAACTTAAGAATAAAGTTGAGATTTTCAATTTCCTATCAATTTTCAAGCATTTAGTGTTAAGATGCTTTTTGATTTTTTCACATGAAATCCACTCCAATAAATAAACATGCAACTTACCACTGATCTGAAAGCCCAGTTGCATTGTGCCAATACATCGGCATGTTGTCAAACTGATATGTGTAAACAAGCAACAAGATACAAATCGAGTAGATAACCATCACCCACCATAATGGTCTCAAGACAAGCCTCCATGTTGTGAGAGATATCTGCAAATTAACAAAACAAAGGTTGATACTGTTAGCCAAGACCTGTACCAGGAGGTTTGATAATTCTGAGTAATATTCAAACTATTATATATTAATTTGTCTGTAGATATGAAAGGTTTCTATCATTGCATTCTTGCTGGTCATTTAAACTTCAATGCAAAGGCACAATAATATTGCCTTTTGAGATAGCACAGCCAACTGTGAACAAGATTRGTTCACAAAACTGATAGCAGATCAGAATAAAGAGGAAAACAGCCATGTACAGTGCCTTTGCATTGAAGTAAGACAACCAGTTCATGATCTTGAAAGATTTCCATCACTGCATGCTTGCGGGTCATTCCACTTCAATGCAAATATTGCCTTTTGAGATGGCAAAAGAAACTGCGAACAAGATAAGTTTACAAACCTGATAGCAGATCAGAATAAAGAGRAAAATAGCCATGTAACCAATCTGGTAGACAGACACGTCATCCTGGAGACCAACCAATAGAAATGCTCCACAGCATAGAATGATCCAGTACTTGGCCAGCACTGTCTTTACCCACAACATCAAAGCCTTGGCATCATCAGATGCTCTTTCATCAAGGGCATCATACTCGGATGGGCCTGGAGATTGATTGCCATCATCGTGGTCATTAATGACATTGTTAACATAATTAACAAATAAAATAAAACTCTGCTATCATGAAATTTCATTGCACAATAATATAGTTATCAGAAACAAATAAGAAAATCTTTCTACTGTTTATAATCACTTACTTGAACTAGAATGTGGATCCAGTGATGCTGAGAAAAAAAGCAATATAGTCAAATTGTGAAATTTTGTAAATTGGTCTGCCAAACATCAATCAATCAATTGATCAATCAATCAATCAATCAATCAATCAATTAATCAATTGATCAATCAATCAATCAATCAATCAACAAATTAATCAACTTACACATCTTTCTTAAAGCCTGAACAAAAGGATGTGCCAGACTTGTCAGTGGAATTCCACTTTGTGAAGTATGTTTTGCCCGTCTCTTGATCTTCTTTTCTCTAATATGCTGACGCAAAGTCACCCAGAACACCCATGTAAAAAGAGTCTGAATTGCAAAAAGAGAACTTAGTCTAATAAAAGTTGTTCACTAATCTATCCAAATGTTCATTTCCATTCAGGGACACCCTACACCGATCAGAATGAATCTCATAATTTGTTGAGAAAACAATGGACAAATAGTCGCTCTTCTAAACAAGAAAACAAAGCTAATTTTCAACAGGAGTACAGTACTAAGAGAAAAATCAGAGAGCAGTTTTCAGTGGGTACCGATTCAAATCCACATTATCTTACTTGTGCAGCCAAATGCATGCAGGGAAATTTCCACTTCTTGAGCCCAAGTTCAGAGTAATCAAAAGTACCAGTAGAGTCCTGTATGGGAAGCTCTCCATCATTCAGTCTTAGCCCATAGACAAACTGAACTAGAAGTAGGAATTCTGAGTATAACACAAGCCCTGGTGATGATACCATGCAAAACCACCGCGCAAAGGGGGTGATCCATATCAGACACGCCCATAAAAGCAGCACAAATGTTAACCAGGAATGATAAGTGATGCTCCAGGCCTGCACAAGTAAACAGACAAACAATAACTATGAAGATAAATCTATGTTTTTTGAAATAAAATACATAATTGAAAAAAATGTACTTGGATTGAAAAATTATTCAAAGATTGAAAGGGAGCATGGAAAAGCAATTTTAATTTAAATTTTATTTACATTAATAAAATAATGTTTCAGAGCCAAAAGATTGCCTACACTGAATAAAATGACCTTTTCTTAAACTAGGAGCAAAACTATGATGTCAAAACGAGGCAAAAACATTTATATTATTATATGCATTTTGTATATTAAATCCTCTTCGTTTGAACTTTTATGTTTGTTGCCTTTTTGCAACACAACAATCTAAGTTAACTAAATTATTAGAATATAAATATAGTAAACTAAAATGATCATTTTTAAAAACACTTCATTCTGTAGTTCTGAGAGTTCTGAAGGGTTTCCTGTTTAACTTTTTTGAGAACTNTTGGGATAAAAGTGTGAAATGGAAAATGAATGAATGGTTAAATGGATGGATCAATGAATGGAAAAAGGTGGATGGACAGATATATGGATGAATAAAGCACATCTTTACTTAGGAGGTATCCAAAATCTTGCATTTTCTGCAGATATAAAGCCATTGCAATTTTAAGCTAAGCAAAAACACCAGCACCAGCACTTATTTAACAAGTGGCTTGAAATTGAAAAATATTACTCGGAAGAAGAAGAGGCAAGAAAATGATATGTTGTTACACTAGCTGAATGATAGTCTGTGGAGGAGGCTATGTATGAATATGTATGAAGATGTACCTGAGTCTCTGAGGAGGTTGGCTGGGACCAGAAAGAAGGATTCCACCATGGGTTTGTGGGTGAGTTCTAAAAAGTTGGAACAATTGTTTGCAAGCATTAAAGTTGAATTTTTCGACTCTCTTTCCCTTAACACCATTAAAACACTCTTTTATACGTTTAGGCATTCATTTACCCACAAATGCACAAATCACCCACAAATGTAGTAAGAGTAAACTGTTACACACATCAAGATGTTTTATGTGTAGGTATTAAATGATTAGCAAGACAATCTTTTAACAGCTGAGCACGCAAAGCAAAACATGCAAGCAAAAAATAAATAACATAGTTATTAAGAAATTCTATTAACTGACAGAGTTAAAATGACCATGATAGCAACTTCTTAGCTGTTAGAAAAGTTGGCAACATACATAGTTTCTCTTTGGTAACAAGGACATACATGTATTTATAATACAAGGACAATTACTAATTTGAACACATATTGTTAGGTCTGTTCCAAAATACTGAATCTATGTCCAATTCATACTGATCATCATCAGGGGTACATGTATCATCATCATCATCATCATCATTATCATCATCATCATCATAACTCTTTGCGCCAGTAGGCGCATAAGGCCTTCACCCCCTCTTTCTATCCATCTCTATCCATTGCTGCCATTTTGGCTTCAGGGATATGTGTAGGTGGAAATTCAAAGGCAGATAGGGGGAGGAAGGAGAGAAGGGGGGAGGAGGGATTCTGGACTTTCCATTTCTTGCCAGTGGCAGAGAAAGTCTTTGAAATGTGGTACTTAATTTGCCAATTCAATAGATTAGCACATTTTGAAG